GAGATAAACGTATGAAAAGAAAACATGCCGGTGTGAGCTATGCAAAATCTTTTGTTCATTTTACAAATTAGAATAATATAATATTTTAAAAAAAGAATCCCATATTTTTTAATACGGATTAACATTGGATTGGATCATACAAATTATAATTTTAATATTCAATAATAAACTTTGTCAGTCTGTTGCATTTGATATTCAAGATTCCAAATAAACGCTAGAAGGGATTTTCGTTAATTCCTAATTGATGTAAAAAGCCCTGGAGCAGTTGTTTTTTAATGGAGTTTATTATGGAGCCACTTAATAGCGACTACCGTTATCTCCTATGAAGCGGTAGACAATTCACATCCATGACTTCTCCGGAATTCCAACTCGAGCCCTTCGTAGCAGTCAATAGTTAAAACAAAGAAATAATTTCACATTTATAACCTATGTATTGTTACAGATTGTGTTATAATTTAGCTACATAATTTTGTAATTAACATTAAGTTTTAAATCTGATGTTGGAAATGCAGTGAGTGGAGAAAAATTCTGCAGTGGAAGAACACAAAATATAAGATACTTGCTTATTATCGCAACCGTCTTAGTAGAAGTCGCTAAAGTTCAAACGGTTTTTATAAATAAATCGTGATATTTTTTGTCTTAAATTTAGTTTTAAAATACAGGGTGTTTATAAAGTCCCGAACCCATTTTGATGTTAAATAACTCATAAAATAATGAAGGTATAAACAAACTTATGGCATTTATTGATGGAATAACTTATATATTTTCCTTTTTAGGTTTGAATATCTTTACTTTTGTAAATATCGTCTGCGCGTGTGGTTAATTTCAGATAATTTAATTTTCCAGTCCAAATATCTGTACTTTTCTAAATATCATCTACTTATTAATTTCTGAAGCGCATAATGTTCTCCGACGAAGCATCCTTTCATCTTTCTGGCTTGTTAATCGCCATAATGTGCGCATATGGGGATCTGAAAACCCCCATGAATACCGTGAGGCACAAAGGGTTTCCCAAAGGTTAATGTGTGGTGTGGATTAATGCACGACCGAGTCATTTTGCCTTTCTTTTTTTACAGAAAAGACGGTCTCATCAGTCGTATACTTAGACATGTTGGAAAACTTCGTATTTTTACAACTAGAAGAGCTTCAGCCACATGCCTTTTTGAAACAAGATGGTGCACCACACCTTCATTGGGATACTATCGTTCGTAGTTCTTTGATAGACCATTTTACAGGAAGATGGATTGGGCGAGGAGGTCCAATTCCTTGGCCACCCAGATCACCTGATATATCGCCGCTGGACCTTTTCCTTTGGGGATTCGTAAAAGACAACGTTTACAGGAGGAGAATGCTGAACATTGATGACCTAAAAGCCAGAATTGCAACCGCAATAGCCTCTGTGGATGCCGACATGCTTGCCGGTACCTGGCGTGAAATTGAATATCGACTTGATATTCTCCGTGCGACGAAGAGGGCACACGTGGAAGTTCATTGACAAGGGTAATGAGACCTTTTGAGTCTATCTAGCCATTTATGTTATTAATTTTAATCTATCTTTATTATTTTATGAGTTATTAAAATATAAAATGAGTCCGGGACTTTATAAACACCCTGTATAAACTTGAGAAATTTGCCAGCAATTGAAGAAACTACGGTAACATTTATGCAAGAATACAGAAGGTACTTACATATTAACGTAGTCTGGAGATTTTTTATAGAAAAAAAAAAAAAAAAATGATTCGGTGAATTTTCATACTGTAAGTTACAGTGGATTGCAATAATACGTAAGTGCCATACAGAATTTTATTGAACATTTTCTAAAGGGTACAACGAGAAAATGCGTTTCCTTGATAGCCGTTGTTGACAACGATTGCACGAGGCCGAGTCTCCGCAATTGCCTGGTGTTCTTTTAAGCAAAAAAAGATCGTTGTGTACCTCGAGAGAAGAATAGTACAAAAACATTACAGAAAGATTTGAAGAAGAATATTAAATCTTTTATTTTTAATGGGTCAAATAATCATTATTTAATAATTAAAATTTGTATTTTAAATTTCTAAAGTATATTTTCTTTTCATATGTTGATAATGTTTACCGACTTACCATAAATATCGATAGTTTGGGAATCTTTCTAAAAAAGAAAAGGCACGGAAACCACCAGTTTGCACCCTTTAAGGTTTATCCTAAGTTTTTAATAGTTATCTTTAGTTAAAACTACTTTCCTGTTCCTCCTAATTTCAGCTTACAATTTCCTACCAGAATGTGTTTTTAAAATCATGGTTAATGCAAATAGGTAAGAGTGGTATTTAAGTTGAAGTTTCCCTGACTTCGTTAGACAGCTTCAGAGTTTCTGACTAGCGCGCGTTCGCCTTTTGGCTACGTCTCTCTCTAAGCTATTACTACGCTGGGCCGTATCTCAGGCCCTTGATAGCTGCTAGCTTATTAGTTATTTAGGGGCCAACTACTTAGAATTTCGATAGCCTCGGCTATATCGTTTTAGTTAAAAATTAGTTAAGTTTTATTTCTTATTACTTTGAGTTCAAGCCCAAGTGGAGGCTTTATTGTACGTCCTGAGAAAGGGACCGACTGTACACTCTTATTTTGAATAATAAAGGTTAATTAACCCTTCTATTAACTTATTTTATTAAAGAAGGGTAATTAATCCTTCTTGAATTTACGTCTCTGTTTCCGAACTCTAGCGATTATTCGCTGATCTGTTCACGAGGTTCCCATACATTTAGCTGTTAGAAAAGAGAGTGGAACTCCACAGCCCAATAAGTAACTTTTACCATTTTATCAGTAAAAAATCACTATCTTGTGCTAAGGTAGATACGTTGATACGGAAATATCAATACTTCATAAAACGTTTTTCATTAGTTGGAATAATACTATAATCTTTTAAAAGCTGGGGTTGCAAAATATTATTGAAATACATACTGTTTTCAAATAAACTACTTTTTTTTTTTTTTTTTTTTTTTTGCACTGTTAAATGTTTATTTTTATAATAAGAAACATAAATTATTATTTATGTTATTTGAATACGGCAAAGCACATGACGGCTATCTGTCAAGGGAAGGAATGCCTTTGTGGAGGGCAGATTAAAGATCTCACTCGTGACATTTTGCATTTTTGCTTCGGAGTTTTGTCCTCGGATGTTATTTGAACGAAATGAAAATAGTAATAATATAAGAGTCTTTCATATAATTAAAAGCAATAAATATTTTGAGAAAACTTTTTTTAGTTTTAGTGGTATTAAGTTTAATATGTATTTGAGGTTCAAACTGATTCCTCTTTGCCTAATGAGAGCGAGAGTTACGTATTTTGGATTTTATTGGATTATTTGTATTACGGCAAAGTACGCGAGGACTACACACCTGATTAATGGGAGGAATGCCTTTGTGAAGGACGTTTTTAAGGAACCATGGTTCGCATTACACGTGGGAAAAACCTCAAAAACTCCCATGCAGTCAGCATGTTCGCCGGACCTGAACCCTATCGAACTACTAGTGTTCAATAACTTTACTTCTCAATCGCTAGTAGGCTTACATGTTAGAGAAACTGACAGACTTTGAACCTAACGAATCTTAAACACTTACTCGTAGAATTTTGTAAGCCAAGAAAATGCATGTCTGCAAAGTATTTAAAAATAACTGATTGTGAAAGAACACAGTAGTGATCGAATTACTAAAGCGATTGACTATCAATAGTTCAACGCCATTTCAAATACCAGCGGATGGACTGGCTACATGAATGTTTTCGTGACTTTCAACATATGTATCGTTTAAACGAGCTAGGTTTACTTCGAAAATGCGATCTCAAGAGCATCCCTCACCTTAAAACAAAGTAGGTATCACGTGCTTTGTTGTATTCAATTAAACAAATAAACAAAAGGATGAAAGAAAACAGAAGTGTGAAAATCCAGAACACTGTTCTCCTAAACTGAGCAGCAGTATAAAAAACTCCCAAAGCTCCTACCTAAATTGAGCAGCGGTGACTTGACGATATACGAATAGATCTTACGAATCAACAAATAAAACGCAAATATAGGGTTCAACTAGCCCTAGGCGAATTCAGTTTCTACTGCATCGAATTCATGCTCATAACTGCGAAATAATTCAAAATATGACCAGACCAAAATCAATACATATCATTCATAGTTACAAATAAAACCATGACAGCAAATATAAATTGTAATATTTACGAAAATTTGTAACAACTGCAATAGATAGTTGTATATCAAAGGGCAAAAATAAGAGGAAGAAATATAACAATATATGGATTAAAAATAAGTTATTTCTTCAGAAGACAGATCAAAAGATTTTTAACATATTCGAAGGTCCATCGAGTTGCTGTTTATCATGACTAATGTCATGTAATAAACTGAAACTTCGTATTTTATTGCTTCGTTACTAAATTTGGCTGGCATCAACCTAGAATAAAGAGGTCTGTTATTAAAGAATTTCGCGGATTTTTTTTAGTATAAATTAATTATGTTTCAGTCCTTATCAATCGAAAAGATTTTCTCTGGCAGGATAATAATATGGCCAACTTCCAGTCGTTCTACCAAATAAAGCTTTGCTTCAAAACTGCTGATTAAAACTTGAATTGTCAGTTAAAAGCAGTTGAAACTGAGATGTGGTACAAGCACATTTATCAAGAAGTAATGGTTAGCCCTCAAAGAAAAGAAATTAACAAGGGGAATAAAACCAAGATTTCTATTAAATACAGAAACAATTAGTGTTAATAATAAAGAACTTCGGACTTTTAAAGGTTAAATGATGCTTATAACTGCATTATAATTTTCAGTAATTTTAAAAATTCCTTAATCAGATATTCTCAAATAAAAAAAGTTATTACATTCTTAACATATTCAAAGTAACATCTCTTATTTATCTAGGATATTTTTGGTGATTATTCTAAGACAAGCAACTATATTCAACACGAATAAAATGTAACTCATTATAATTATAACTGTCATCGTAGCTCACATGAAAGAAACTTACCTTTGAAATCATTCTGGGAGAATCAGTTCTATTTTTTTTCCGAAATATTTTAAGTTTCATCTGCGGTTACATGCTTTTATATGAACGAACTTCTTTGTTCACTTTATTCCAACTCTGACAACTTCGATTGTTTCGTCGATAAAATATTTTCAGAGGAAAGCAACCGACCGTATAAATAACTAGAAACGGACAGGGGTCGAAGAAATGTTTTGTATTTTATTTTCATTTTATTTATGTGTCTCACTGTGTTGCATCGTTTTACCGAGAAACAGATCGGTTCCATGACCTTCCCTAAGAAAGCTGACATTTTTATTTTATGATAAATTTTTGCGGTTGAGGCATTTCCGAAACTAGTTTTCTCATCCAGTAGACAAAGATTATCAATTTCAGCATTAAGTAGCCTAAATGTTCTGAATTAACATAAAAATATGAAAGAAGTTGAAACTGAAATTAATTTTGTTTTTCTTAAAATCGTGACCTGGATACTAAAGTTCCTTTTTCAACAAATTATCGTATTTTCATGAACTATCATAAAAATTTTGTTTTAACTATTTTCATATACGGAAGAGAAAAAGCGATTTTTTTACTGATGTTAAAATATTTTAACAGATGTGGATCAGAAGAATATTTTATTTCTTTCAGTTTTCAGTTCAAGTTGAAAAATTTTTTAAACAAATAAAACAACTATTGGGGATAATTTTTTAGATCGTTATTTGATTTAGGATAATGGGGAAGTATGTGTATCTATATATCGTGTTCACTCGCGTTATAGCCGCTTTTTTTTTTGCCAATTTTTTTATTGTGAAAGTCTAGATGCGAATATTATGCGGGGGAATCTACTACGCAATATTGTACACTTTTGACAATTTTTTCTGCTTAAAAACGGAGATGCGACTATTAGGTGAGTAAATGCGGTACATACGCTGAACTAAAAATGAAAAGAAACCCAGTTATCTGTCATAGTGCCATGCATTTGAAAACCTTGTATCAGTTATCAATTCTTGCATGAGATATTTGCAATCATTGCGAAGTTCAAAGACGACAAATTTCCATAGCCAGATTAATTGGGTAAAAATGTCGTTAAGCTGTTACAAAAGCAAATTCTAGACTAACTTACTAAACAATGGCATTGTGTTGATTTCGCAGAATATTTCTAAAAGGCTTCAAACCAAATTAAGTTAAATTCCTTCTATAATATGTTATCCTCCTATCACTTGCTATGCTTAATATCAAGTATCGGGGAAAATCATACAGCGTTTTCAAAGCATAGGGACTAAAACATCTCCTCCAAACAAAAGGATGTCTTTGCAACCAGAAATCTGTATTCAGGCCTGCAACTCTGTTGAACATTTCACATGAATTATACCGAAACAGATAGCATGCAAGGGAATCAACAACCAAAACTCAACGGTAATCTTATCGATAGTTCACATTATGGAGCATTTGATTCCATGCACTGGCTGCATGTTATGCAATTGGAAACAAGTGTAGAGAGGCTAACCGAAAGCATAGGTTCACTTCTATAGAATTCATTTCCAAACAATGCCTTCGATATTTACTCTCAGCATCCGAACGCAAGCACCGAAGCTGACTGTTAAAGGACTATTAAGATAAAATGAGATAATAGTATAAAAATTTTAAAAATTGGACAAAGATCATAAATAACCAACGGAAGAAAACAGAATTCGTCTTCACTTTTAATAAGAATTTATTAGCGAAGTATTATTTCATGCTCAGTACTGGCAACTATTGAAAAAAATTCGCAGTAGCAAGCTACCACTTCAAACTAGAGGCAATAAACGCAGCAAACGTAAGTAGCCCGTTGCATGAATAACGCATCAAATACAATAATCGCTAAGTTAATTTGCGTAAATTCATTAGCCAACATTATATATTGCCCATATCGTCATCACAAGCAATGAACTGGCGAATGATTTAACAAGATATACAGTTCAAAACACTAACTTCATCACCATATAAGGATCTAATAAGACATCATACTTTAAGAAAATCCTTAATGTTACAAAAGTACAAAAGTTAAAAGAACATACAGTCTGCTTCCCAAAGTGTCAAATAAGCTAATAAATCATTTGCTACAACTAATGCAATATGTAATGGATCATGGACCCATCTGCCCTACTTCAAACGTTTCAGTATTTGACATAAGAAATGTGTTCGCAATGTACCTAGTGCAGTAGATCAGCGTACATCAGCAGCATAGCACCATCTTATGTCGTCGAGAACAGTCTTATAAAGAACAAAAAATAAAATTCCTGAAAAAATATTAGGATGAAACTGTCAGTTCTTTACTAACATTCTATTCTGTACAGAGTGATTAAAAATGAGTGTAAAAAATGTAAAGGCAGCTAGAAGGGATGAGAATAAGCAGATTTTATTTAATGGAATGTGTATGTGAAAACGACGCATTTAGGCATTAGAGAATGCTGTTGAGATCGGTTGGTGAAAGCAGTCCGCTGATTGCTATACGAACGCAAAGCTTGCCGTTATGTATTTTATTTATGAGGCTGCGTATGTAAACAAAGCAGCTGTGATTCCTGAGTAGACCCCGTAGAATGTGTTAACCTCATGCTGTACAAGCGTAGATCTTCTGTGCGTATTAACTTCAAGGAGTAGAGTTCTAGCGTATTAACCTCAAGGTGTAAAAAAGTAGATCTTTTGACGGTTTGGTTTGGTTTGAACATGGTTTGACTCAAAATGGTTTGGTTTGAAAATGGTCTCGATCCTGACCTTGAAACACAGACGGATGGCGATATTTTTAAGCTTTTCTACGCAAGCAATTAAGTAAACATGACTTCGAGTAAGAATCAAGCAGCATTTAAAGATATTAAACTAGGGTTTAAGAATGAAACAAATGGTTAACAGATTAAACAGGTTCTCATGAGAAGCTTTAATTGTTGATGTTTTTTAGAGAAAATGTCCTTTTAAAGTATGTTCTGAAGGAAAAGAAGCAAATATGTACTCCTTACAATATGAAACAGAAAAAGCTTTACACTTTCCAAGAAAGGAAGCTTCAAATATTGTTTTACCGAAAGAGATAATGAGCTGAGATACGCAAATGATGCTCTACGCAAAATCTCATTTGAAATCAAAAGAATGCAGCTAAAACCTGTTCGTGATATTCTAATACGAAAACTTCTTGTTGAAGATGAACCCGACAGTATGATATACACCTGAGTGTTATATATGTTGACTCGTCAAACATAGGTAGATTACTGTTTGTTTATAAAATTAAATTAGATTACTTATACATAAGTAAGACATTTGATGCTGCATGGTCAGCGGCAAGTGACAAGAGTGACGCAGCACAAATACCGTGCACTTGCCAAGCTACAGTAAGGTTAGAGGCACTGCCATCTATCGGCTAGCACAGTAATTAATATCTAACATGCCCTTTTTATATATAGAACAAGATTAATGCATGCTACTAACTTAGTACAATAATTATTTTAAATTATTACTTACTTAGAAGTTAACTTAACATTTTGACATTAAATTAACATAGTTGACAGTTGACTTTAGAGAACATAGCAAAATTATATACTTTGATGACTCACTTAAATCTTTAAAATTACGACTTACTAATTAAACTAATATTTTAGAGTTCTGAACAGTTCATTAAATTCCGCAATTAGTCTATAAATAAAGTATAATTTTATGGCACCAATAATGTCTTGCTAACTGCCTTTATATCGAAGAGGTTTTATTCTATTTCTACTTGATCGCCTTAGCACTGGTTCAGTTGACACATTTTCTGGAATTTGAGAATGTTTAGTAGAATCACTTTCCTGTTCCTTAGGTCCATTCGCTTTTATGACATAAGATCTTGGTTGAGGACCTGTCTTCGTGATCATACCCTGTTTCTAAGGTTCTTTAATTTTCCCTTTGAACCACACTTTATCATTTTTATGAACTTTTGGAAGCTGGGTTGCATGTTTATTGGCATATTTCTTTCGCACCATCTGACTTTTTTCTAATGCTTACTTGCATCTTTTATTTGAAATTTTGGTTGCAATGCTTTAGGATGTGATGGTAGAAAAGATCTCAGTCTTCTTCCCATTAATAATTCAGCCCGGGGATGGCAAATCTTTTGCGGGTTGAATAATCTAGCAAAACAATATACAAGCCTTTTCCTTCTTCCGCAGCTTTTTTTAGAGACTTCTTGAGAGTTTGAATAGATCTTTCAATTTTCCCATTTGCTCTAGAAAAATGTGGTGATGTGATGTTATGCATAACACCCCATTCTTCAAGAAATTTTCGCAATGCTTCCGAGTTGTATGGTGGTCCACCATCAGTGATGAGCTTCTCTGGTATTCCATGTGTTGCAAAAATGGACTTCATAACTGTACAGCTTGAGCTGTTATGCTTTTAAGTGGTTTCAGCTCTACATATTTTGAAAAGTAGTCTATCATTAATAGATATTGTTATTCTTTCAGGTAAAAGAAATCACAGGCAACTTTTTACCAGGGTCTTTCTGGTAGATCTCAGTCTAAAAGAACTTCTTTCTGATTAACCTGTTGATATTTCTGACAGATCTCACACTGGGAAACATATTCTTCGACATCTTTGTTGATATTAGTCCAGTAAAAATATTCTCTAGCTAGAAACTTTACTAGAAACTATACCTTTGTAGACACATGCAGTCTTTCCATAATTGCTTTCTTAAGAGATGCTGGCATAATTAGTCGTTGTCCTCGACAAATTATACTATCCTTTGTCGTATAAAACTCTGCAATGCCAATAAGGTTGTGCTGCTGGCCTTGTTTTGCTTCTTTCTGGCCATCCATATTTTATGTGAAATAACACATCTTGCAATTCAGAGTCCTTTTCTGTCATTTTTACGATTTCCTGCCATTTTGTTGAAGAGGCTTTTGTTAATAGACTTGCATTAACAGTAGTTCTTGGCTAAAGGTGTCTTCAAAGGTCAATCAATTTTTGTAAAAGCGTAGCTCAAGCGTTAGGCAGCATTAACCAGTTTGCTAGCCGAAGTTACATCCCACAGTTACAGAGAGTGTTTGCACATTTTAGAACGATTTTGATGAAGAATTTAAAAGAAAAAAAAAATTTTTTTGAATAAAAATTTCTCGAAACAGTTTATTATTTAAAATGAGAAATACCAACACCCGACTTTA